GTGGGGACTCACCGAGGACTCCATGGCCTGCAGGCTCTGGAAGGCACCAGCAATTTCCCGGCTCAGGCTCAGCATCCTGGAATAGCAGGTTGGGGGTGCTGGCTGCACGGTGGAGGGGCCGGCCAGCAGCAGCAGCAGGGAGGCAAGTGGCCAGGGCATCGTGGTGGAGAGCTGGCTTTGCTGAGGCCCAGGGCTGCCCCTTTAAGCTGTAGCCTGGGGGGTGGTCCCAGGCAGCCTGCTACATGCCCTCATTTCCTGTGGGGCCCAGTCAAGGTTGGCTGGTGAGGATGGGAGGATCCTTTTAGACTGAGGGCCCCTTGCTCGGAGGGGCTGGGCCTGGAGGGGAAGCAAAGCCTTCCTCTCTTTCAATGGGAGCTGCTCTCTCTGCAGGGTGGTGTTTTAAACCAATGGACTGTGGCTGAGATGGTAGGGACACTGGGCCATATACCCTCCCTCCAGAACAAGAGGGGGGTAGGGATGGATAGATGGGGATTGACAGAAGTTGTCAGTCCCCTCAGGTACAGTAGGAAAGGTTTTGTAAAAGCAGTTTATCTCCTAGGGCAGAATAGGGGGAAAGGTCGAGAGGTGCCTAGAAGTGAACTGAGGCGATCCACCCCACCCACACAGCTCAGGCAAACTATAATGGGGGCTTGAGGTTGGGCACTGTAGGGTCCAGTAAAACCACTTGCTATCCAGCTGATTTCAAGTCAGGGCAGTCCACATAATGCAGCCCACACCTGGGATGCCAGCCTGGGGTCAACCCCCATCAGCCTCTCACCAGCAGGCTGCATCTCTTCATCAAGAAGATGGGGCTGGGCCAGCACCTCTCCTGTGAGGTCACTGTGAGCATCCGCCCAGCGATTCTACCCCAAGCTCCAGCACAGGACCTGCCCAGAGCAAACTCAGGAGCCGTGGGTTCTCCTAACCAGCCTGTTGCTGAGGGATGATGGTACCCCAGGCATCACAGGCTATGTCTGCAGGCTGCTAGCCTGTAACCGAGGAAAGTGTGACTCAGTGGTAGAATTCTCATCTTCCGTGCAGAAGACTCGGGTTCAATTCCCAGCCAATGCATTCCGTGTGCAGTGAATAGCCATCTGTCAGTGGAGGTGTGTGTGCTGCTGGGATGCTGGACAATGAACAGGCAAGACCAGAGAAGAATGGATGCATATGAATTGTGTGTTGGTGAAGAATATTGCACCATGGACTGCCAGAAGAACAAGTCCATCTTGGAGGAAGTGCAGCCGGAATGCTCCTTGGAAGCGAGAATGGCCAGGCTTCATCTCACCTACTTTGGTCATGTTGTTAGAAAGGACCAGTCCCTGGAGAAGGATGTCATGCATGGCAGGGTCAGCCAAAATGGGGAAGACCCTCAATGAGATGGATTCACCAAGTGGCTACAACAATGGGCTCAAGCACAACATGGAATGTGAGGCTGGTGCGGGACCAGGCAGTGTCTTTTTCTGTTGTAACAAGGGGGCGCTACAAGTCGGAACTGAGTCTATGGCACCTGACAACAACAATGATGCTTAATAGGATTCAGTGGAGCTTCCAGACAGATTAGGAGGAAAGGCCTGGTGATCTACTTCCAAACATTAGCCAAGAAACCCTATGGATCACGAGGGTCAGCTCCACGACCATCAGGAGGGGGGTGCAGGACCGGCAGGGTTCTGTGCCACGATGCATGGGGTCCCCATGAGTCAGAGGCTGAGAAGGAGGGAGCTCACAGCATCATGGTGTAGGAGCGCAACAGTGAAAGGGGTGGGTTTGCTGCAGATGCTTTGGGGGGCAAAGTGTGCTCAGTCACTTTTGACCATGACTTTGGATGAGTTTCATGACCCTATCCTCATTTTCCTTTTAGGTGAAATGGGGGTGAGGAGTCTCTAAGCCAGAAGGCCATGGTGAGGACTAATGAGACCTGGCACAGATGGAGCAGAGCCTGGTGCCTGCTCCACAGGAAAGCATCCAGGAGGCCTGAACGAATATCACCGTCTCCACTAGCACGTGTACATATGAGACAGATGGTGCAGAAAACAGCCCCATTTTCCAGATGAGAACTAAGGCTCCAAGAGTGGCAGTGACTTGCCCCAGGTCACCAAGCTGGGAGGCAGGGAGTTAAGAAGAGACTCTCCCCTCTGGGTCTGCATGGATCTCCCTGTCAGTGGGCTGGGGGAAGGGGACAGAAGCAGGACTCCTCAGTCAGAGAGGAGTTTGGCCCCTTCTGTGATGCAAGACCAAGGACGGCAAAGACAAAAACAAACAAACAAACAAAAACAACAACTCACTGCCATGGAGTCGGATCCTACTCATAGAGACTTTGAGGTGGTATCACTACAGAAGTAGATTATCTAACCTTCTTTCTGAGAAGTGGCTGGTGGGTTTGACACCAGCCTTCTGGTTAGCAGTCAAATGTCTTAAGCACTACGCCACAAGAGTTCCCAAGCAAGGACAAAGAGCTGTCAAAGAGAGGAAGATTCTTATTTACAGTGAACATCCCTCACACCCACAGCCAATAGACCAGGTGCCCAAGACCAGGGACAAGCAAGGAGAAGGGGCAGTGAACAAGAACAGAAGATTCTCAGTAAACATTGTTGTTCAACTAACATCAAGTCGGACCCTGACTCACGGTGACCCTGTGCACAACAAAATGCAACACTGTTGCTGCGCCATCCTCATGATCCACTGCAGGTCATACCCTCATGAGCCGCAGTGTTCTCATTGGCTTGTTTTCAGAACTAGATCTCCAGGCCCTTCATCCCAGTCTGTCTCCATCTGGAAGCTCCACGGAAACCTGCTCAGCATCATAGCACCATGCAAGCCTCCGACAGACAGGTGGTGGCTGTGCATTGGTGAGTGGGCTGAGAGCCAAAGCTGGGTCTTCAACACGGAAGGTGAGAATTCTACACTACAGCCATCACAAACCCAACACTGAGCATCACTTGTACCTGGAGTTACTGTACCAGCTGCTGTCATGGTGCCACGAGCCTCACTAAAAGAGAAACTAGATGTTATTCCCATTTCCCAAGTGAGGGGAAGGAAGACCCTGACCCAGACAACAGAGAGAAGAGTGGCACTCTGGACCCGAATCTGCCTGTCTTCAAAGTCTCTCACTGCAAGGGAGGGAGAAGAAGGGCCCAAACAAGCCCCACCTGTGCAGAACAGAACAACCAAAGACAAGGACCAGAGGGTTGAGTGAAACAGAGCATGGTGTCCTGGACAGGGGGCAGGATTGGGGATTGTCAACAGGGATGGAAACCTTAGCTCCAGCCTTGCTGTATTTGCCTGGAGAAAGCCCTGGGCCCCATCCGTAAATAGAGTAGTGTCACCTGGGGCCATGTCTGAGGTGGCTTCCAGCCAGGACTTTCCATTTATCTAGTTTCCTGGCTGACTTGACGGCACATAACAACAACAACAAAGTTTCCTGGTGTTAAAATTCCTGGGCAGGGCTCGCAAGCCATGGCCTTCCTGTTTTGCAGGTAAGTGTGGTCTTTAAGCACTGTGATGCAGAGGAACTGCCTCTAGGGTAACTTCTCAGACAGGGAAGGACTGTGTGCTTGGAGGAGGTGAACAGCAAACACAGATCTGTTTTTTTTTTTTTTTTTTGCAGGATGAAGGCATTTCCACACTCTGTGGCAGTACCCAGGGCCTTCCTGGCAGACCAGCCCCATCCCAGCTAGGAACTCCAGGGCTTTGGGCATTCACAGAGCGGGCTTCATGTTCAGGAGGGAGAAGGAAAACAAGCCCGGTAGGGGCAGTGCTCTTTGGACCAGAGTGGCATTGCCAGGCTGGGAAACAGAAAGTCTCTGTGCCTTGGAGCTGGAGCAAATAAGATGCTCTGAAGCCCGATCTTGTTCTGGTCCAGAACATGGTGTGTGGTTGGTGAAGGGGCTTCTTGGACAGATTACGTTTGCTCAGTTTCCTGAAGGCTGGCAGGCCCTCAGGTCAAGTGCTTCCCCACACCAGCTGGTCCAGTGAATGAGTGAGTGGCTGTACCTGTTGCTGTCGCTGGCACTGACTGAGACGTGGTGGACGTCGGAGTCCAGAGAAGGACAAGAGCTGTCCCAAGAAGCTCACAGGCCAGTGGGCGAAGCAGATGCAGAATCAGATGATGACAATGTGGGGCACTCAGTTGTACCCAAAGGATGTGCTTCAGCTAATTGTGCCTAGCTGGGGCAGGAGAGACCCTGGAAGGGGAAGCAAGGAGAAGGAAGACTAGGAGAGCCCAGGGAGGGGTGCAGGAAGTGGGGAGACTGGGAAGGTCCCCAGGGAGGGGTCTAGGAGACGGGGTGGGTCTCTAGAGGAGGGGAGCAGGGAGCAGGGAAGAATAGGAGAGTGACTAACGAAAGATATAAGAGGTGGGGAAACTGTGAGCATTCCCAGAGGAGCAGTGCAGGGAACGGAAAGGCCAGGAGGGTCTCCAGGGAGGGGATATGGGGAGGCTAGGAGGGTCCCTGGAAGAGAGACATGGAATCGGAAGGCCAGGATGGTCCCCAGGGAGGGGATGTGGAGAGACTGGAGTGTTCCCAGGGGAGAGGTATAGGGAGGGAGAGACTGGGAGGGTCTTCAGGGAGAGGGTACGGGGAGTGGGGAGACTGGGGGAGTCCTCAGAGGTGGGGGCATGAGGAATGGGGAGATCAGGGGGGTCCCCATGGGGGGAGTGCCTGGGTGCTGATCCGCCAGCCAGAAGGGGATGAGGTGGAACAGGCTGTGCAAAGCACAAGGCTTGGGGTGTGCACCTGGACCCTCTGGGCCTCAACAAGGCTCCCCTAAGCATGGTAGACTGAGAGGACTGCACTCCCTCTGTGTCGCTTGCTGGCCGTTGGCTCCTGGGGGTCAGAGGTCTTGTTCATCTCTGCGCCTCCACTGCCTGTCGGCCAGAGGAACAGAGGCTTACAGAGGCCTCATTGGCTCACTGGTGGTGACTCTTAGAGCAGGCTCGGGTCCACCCAGAAGTCCACAGGCACAGCCTGAATCAGCCCCTTGACGCGGGCTCCTTGTGGATTCTGAACTGTGTTCTGCTCACAAAGTCCTCCTTTACTCCTCCCTTCACCCCTTCCCCAGACTTCCCAGAAGCAGGTTTGGTCTAGAATGCGAATGTTAAAAGTCTAGGTGGGTAAGTAAGACCTTTGTCATCAAAGGTTCCAACTGTCCCCTTCAAAGTG